TTTGAAGCCTCAGACAGTCAAAGAGACAAGACTATAGAAATAAATAAAACAAAAATATTGATCTAAATACATTGAGTAAAAACATTTCTCTACGATTAAGGGATGAGGTTTTTGAGGGCAGAAGTGTTTCCAGAGACCTGAAGTGGCCCTAAGAAAATTTCTCCCAAATACGGTATTTTTCTCTCTACACAGAAAACAGTCAGTATAGATCGCATCTCCCAAAATGAGATATATGATGATTTCTAGCATGAAGAATGAAGTGCCTCTTCTGCTGTTGATAAAATCATCCAAAGGTCTCTTTTAAAGTAACTGCCAAACCAAGCTTGTTTTTCACTGATTTTATAATCTGCATATGAAAGACTTGATCTGGAATGGGACCTCAGCCTGGCTCCCGATTCTATTCCCTCAGGTCTAAAAGTGGAAAAATTATGCACGCAGGGCCCGATTCTGTACTCGCTAAGGAAGGTGCAACTAGGGCAACTGCAATGAATCCAGTGGAATTCTTCCAAATTGGCATTCGCTAGTGGGAGTACAAATTTAGTCCACATTTTTGTGGAGAAAACAATTGTGAATAAAAAAATGGCAATTTGATCCATTTTCAATTATTCTTACTCATAGAACTCAGGAACCATATACTCTTCAATTAAAGTAATTTAGATTTCAAATTAGGATGAAGGAATCTCTTTCTTGACTCAGCTAGAACCGCATTTTTAGCTAATTGGCGAGTTTTCTCTCCAAATGTAATATCCTGAGTTCTCACCCCCATCAGAAAGACATCCCAGTTGTTAGCTGGTTTTGTTCCAAAATATTTAATATCTACTCAACCCATTAGAAACAAGCCTCTCATCTTCCTTTGCAATATTATGAAAACGAGCGGGCCAGCAGAACGGACTACACAGCAGGAGTACGCCAAGTAACAAATCAGATATCCCTTTCCTTCTAGCGTTACAGTCACCCTCGGCGGGGCGAGCTTTGAAGTTGGCAGCATAGAATTTTGGCAGTCTCCGTCCCCTCGTAATGCTGGAGATCCGTTCGCTGTGTCTGAGTCGCTTGGCTGGTTCGGCGGAGTCAATCAGACCGCTGTTGGATCCCCTCTAAGCCGCCTCTTCCGGAGGTTGTGGAGTCCTGGTCCGTTGGGTTCCCGTCGTAAGGAAGCTCTTCCCAGTCCCTGGTCCTTCTTGCTCTCCCCTGAACATTTTCCTTCCTAGAGAAGAGGCACCAGAAGCGCACGCAGTGCTCAGTACCTGATTGATACAGCGGCAAAACGGTGTTTTCTCTTTTGGTCTATAATTGCTCCTAATTTACCCCTAACGCTTGCTTTGCTTTTCTGACTGATACCTCTTTTAAAAGCAGAGGCTGGGCTCCTCCGCGGTTGCAGAGACCCAAGTAGGGAATGGAGAGGCTTCCAAGAGGTGGGGAGAGCAGGGGGGGGGGGGGGGGGGCGTGGCAGGCAGCCCCCGCCACTCCGGAGGCAACCCAGTTTCTGTGTCCCCTTACAAGCTGCCTGAGCTCAAGTGAAGCTTATGAAGTTTTCTTCTCCCCTGTGCAGGCGCTTCTTGAGCGCGAAGCTGAAATAAATCGACAATAGAAAATAATACTATTTGAAACTAACCTCGCGCCCAGAGAACTTGATAGAAACGGTCCCTTAGGCTTCAGCTAGCTATAGATCAGGTTTTATGTTCACGTCACGTGATTTTTATATTTGTTATTTCTTGTGAGAAGATGTTAAAGTTTGTCTAAAAGAAAAAGAAACTCCCATGTGCTCACTTCAGCTCACAGCAAACAACTACAATTTTAATATCTGAATATACGCAATAGTATGAACACAAAAATCCCCAAGCCCTTCAGCTGTTTCTCATTCTGAATAAAATTGATTTAAGCACATATACATAATATTGTGGTCTGAGCAATAGTAGTCGTTTCCAAGCTGTCTTAAAAAAAATATGTCCCTGTCATTATCAAGGATAAAAACTTGTCCCCTTTGAAGCTGATGAAAAAATTCTTACCAGCTTCACTGGGTCAGGATTTTACTTCAGAGATAACCATCCCTATTTTAACTCAGCGTTACCAACGACATGCTGTAATAAAAGCAGTAACTGAAATGTGTCCCGTGTATTTTAAACGGAGCTCCCAAAGCACTAAATAATCTTTTAAAGTGATTCCATATAGGAATAGCTTTTCTTTCTCAGTACAAGGCAAGGACAATTTGGGTAGCAGAAAGTAACTGCCCAAGAGCAAACAGCCATTCTGGTATTCACTAATTACTCCAATCACCATTATTAGCAGTTACTAATTTTGCTGGTATTTTCCCACAGAGCTGCTTTAATGTGGCCAGCCTAGCCATAACTGTTAGCTAATTTTAAGCCCCAAGGTGCCGCATGGGACACAGCAGCCCCGCATCCCCGAAACGCCCTGCTCCGCAGAGATCTGTCTCCTTGCCGAGGCTGCTGAGGCAGCGTGCTGCACCAAGCGAGCCCGAACAGGCTCTGCCAGCCCCACGCTGGCACCTGAATCAGCACCCAGTGTCAAATTCCATTTCCACTATTACTGTGACATGCAGAAAACAGTGCTGGCCAAAACAAAGGACTTCTCTGAGTTTTTCTCTCTTTTTCCCTTTTTAGCTTGGTCCTTTTTGAAAAAACAACAGTTAAATCAGCGCGATTCCTGGATTCTTTTCTCAATTGTATCGTCAGCAAAGGGTTTGAAGAAGTGCTGTTTAATTAGTAGAAGGTAAATTTTATAAAAATACACTTGTTCCTAAAGCTGCAACCAACCTGGAAGACTGCACCAATTTAAATACTGTTTTCTATGAGATTAATTAAATCCCTGCAAACACCCAGGGCAGATGTGCCCTAACACGGAAACAAAGTTCCTGCTTCAGGGAGCCGTTAATAAAGCGCCGTACACTGGAGAGATGCAGGCTCCTTTGGCTGCGCTTCGCCGTACCGCACAGCCCGAGGGACCCCAAGGGGCGCACGGCTCTGGAGCCCGAGCGGTTGATCGTTGTCCTGGTTTCGGCGGGGATAGAGTTAACTTCCTTCCTAGTAGCTGGTACAGTGCTGTGCTTTGGATTTAGGATGGGAACAAAATTGATAAGGCACCGATGTTTTAGTTGTTGCTGAGCAGTGCTTACACTAGTCAAGGACTTTCCAGCTTCCTATGCCCTACCGACTGAGAAGGCTGGGGGTGCACAAGAAGCCAGGAGGGGGCACAGCCAGGACAGCTGACCCCAACTGGCCAGAGGGACATTCCATACCATGGGACGTCATGCTCAGTACATAAACTGGGGGAAGCTGGCCGGGGGGGCCGCTGCTCGGGGACTGGCTGGGCATCGGTCGGCGGGGGGTGAGCAATTGCACTGTGCATCACTTGCTTTGTGTATTATTATTATTATTATCATCATATTATTATTATTATTATTATCATCATATTATTATTATTATTATTATCATCATCATATTATTATAATTTTATTTCAATTATTAAACTGTTTTTATCTCAACACACGAGTTTTTCTCACTTGTGCTTTTCCAATTCTCTCCCCCATCCCACTGGGGGAGCAGGGGGAGTGAGCGAGCGGCTGGGTGGTGCTCAGTTGCCAACTGAGGTTGAACCACGACAATCGTGATACTCCTGTTAGCAAGATTAAACGTAGGTCTGCACAGGTAATACTGGAGTCACCTCTGCCTGAATTGCAGTCAGCCCACGCCTGCCATCAGCTTAAATGACATTTCCGAGGTGGGTTTGCTCTGGATAGCAAGTCTGTGGTGATGCTCCTTGTTGCTGTTAGACCTTGGCTATTTGAGAAGAATATTGCACTAAGGGACATAACCTCACAATTTTAAATGGTTCCCCACCTCTTCTTAACCAAAGCTCGTAATGCAGTTACCTGTTTGGGACGTGCTGAAAACACAGGATCACGGAAAATAAAAGGATGGGAGCAATCAGAAATTATTCCCACCAGAAACGATGTAGTCATCCCCAGCTTTAAGCCCGTGTCCCTCACCCTTTTATTGCCAATAAACCTGTTGCACAATTTGGCATCAGACTGATGCCAGCGAGGGTGTGTCCGCGCTTGGGGCTTCAAGTCAACACCAGGTGAGGAAAAGAAGCTTAAAGCTCAACCTAGAAGACAAGAGAAAGCAGAAGACCTCACCAGCAGAGGTGAGTGGTCAGTGAAAGCACTGTCTTTCACACGTTCCTCATTGCCTGAGGCCACTGGCGTAGGGCCGTATTTAGCAGCTACAACACCATAAAGTGTATTTTGGGGGGAGAGGGGTGTCAAATGCGGTACCTCTGCATCTGTTTACCTCTGCATCCTTCCTATTACATGCATTAAGAGAACAACGCATTTCGTATACGGCTGTGGCTGACGTGGAATTGCTCATAATTGTAATCCTTCTTCTCTCCTTTTCCAGCTCCCTGAAATGGCCCGCAAATATTATTGAAAACTAACGTTCCTTTCTGTACTGAACGCAATAGACCGCGCATGCAAGATCTTTTACAGTAGTTCCAAGACAGAAAAGGTTAAAAAGCACTTTAATTATAAATTATTCAGAAATACATTATATGAAATAAACTGTTAACGTGAAGAAAGCAGAAGATGATGTTGCAGCATCCTGCAATACAATGATAGGGCATAAAAATAATACACAGCTTTTGCCACCCCTCAAAAGTGAGTGGAAATGGGGTTGGAGAAGGAAATTTGTGTAAATGAATTTGAGTGGAAGGATGAAAAGCAAGAGAGTTCTCTAGAGTTACTTAATGCACTCTAGAAAGTCATACAATACGCAGACTTTTATAAAAGTAAAAAAAAAAAAAGATACTAAAATATTGTCAAAAAGCTTCCGATGTCAACCATAGTAGTATATTAAACCACAAGGACTTATCTGAAGAGCTGTCTGACTTCAATTACCTTTGCATCAGTCCTAAACAAGTTACTTAATCATTGAAATGTACAGAAAACATAAGCATGAAAAAGGGGGAGTTAACTTTTTTACCGTGGATGGGCTGGCATCCGATCCATTCCTGTCCCGTGCATCCATCAGAGCGAACTTTCTTCCTACCTGCAAATAAAAAGCAAGATGTCAAATTTCATTAAACATACCTATTGTACAGCAACACAGAAATTCTGAAGAATTAAACCAGCTAAACAAGACATTATCGCTGCAGGGATGTATGCCAGCATGTCCCTCGTGAAAAATGTGAGGATTCTTCTACGATGTTTTGGGCTTGGCTCATCAGTGAGTTCATTTTACACTGTTACGGCTCTTCTTAGATCAAGTCTTACACCAGCATAAAACTGGCTCGCTGCACTGGGTAAATCAGGCCCAATATTTAAAACGCTAAAAATCAATTCTTACCAGCCACAGGATGATTATTTTAAGTGGAAAAATGTGTATTTCATAAGGGTTGTTTGCCACTTCTGCTCAGAATTCATAACACAACTTCTTCTGAATAACATCCAAAGTCTTCGATAGTGGTTCAGCCAAGAGTCAGCCCTCAGAATCGGCTCAGTTGCATTTCAGGTTTTTTTTTTACAATAACTAATACATCTTTCCTACTAAAGAACAGTCCCTACAAGCTGACGATCCAAAGAACAAACGCTCCTTGTAATTAAAGTGACTAAAGGAGGGAATACGTCTGGATCTTAATACAGTAACTCTTCCAAAAATCTGAAGAAATTCCTCTTCTCTTCAATCCCAGCCTAGGAAGCCGTTAAATTCAACATGAAGATGTTTTGCAGTACTCATGGTCCAGTTCCTCGGCTTGTGAAGAATCAGGGGTTCAGTCGCCAGAGGAATCCAGCCAAGAAGCCACCTTCAACTCCAGGCCAGGGCCGGCCCAAGTGACCGAGGAGCCAGGGTAGCACCGCGTCGCGGGGAGCAGGCGTGCGTGTTGCGCAGACACACACCCTGCCCGGTGAATCTGTGCACCCTCGCAGAGCTACAGCTGAACGCCGTCCTGCACGGACAAGGCTGCCAGGGGATACAAGAACGCAGCTTACTCTTCGGCTTGTCGCAGCAGGCTTTCAAGCCTTGCTCGGGACTATAATATCCCATTATATGCATGACACGATGCTGGACTAAGACAAAAGGGCTGAAATCATTAATGGCTTTGTTTCATAGTAAGGAAAGTGTACATAAATCTGTGGTCCCAGCCTCGTTTCCTCTCCTGACCACGCAGCCACCGGCATTTTTCCTTCCACTGGCTGCGGACCTCATGCACCCAGGCAGCGACCTGCTTCGCCGAGTTGTTCCAGCAGAAAAACTAATAAAAAAAGTTAACAGTGCTCAGCTGGATCATCTCCACGAACTGACTTGCTGTGTCATCACGAGTTCCTGCGCTAGCAAAAGGGTAAGAGCCCGCAAGTGCCACTAGATACACGAAGAGGTGAATAGGGCTTGCGCCCCTCCATAGACAAAAGCAGCATCTCACCAGGCGTGGGGACCACGCGGCTTACGTGTTCTATTAAACAATGTTCTCTAGGGACCGCACGGCACTAGGTAACCTTGCTTGTGCAGGATCTAGTTATACAGCATTGTGCTCGCAGGGGTAATTATGAGCAAAGGCCTTTCTGTGACTACACAGCAGTTTTCCTCATTCTTAGTTTTATCAAAAAAATGTAAATTGCATCCTAATTTCATATTTACAATTTTTATTCTTACTATTTTTCAGTTCTGCTCAACTTTGCCATCTCTTCTGTGTAGTTTTCATGCCAGAATTACAGGAAGCTTGCCCAATGCTGACTTTCATATACTTACGAGGTGGAGTTTCAGTTGACCTCAAGGCAGATACACATCAGATAAGAAAACTCAGAATACAAAAGACAGAGGCAAAGCAGTTTGAACCAGAAACGCAGCTGATGTATCTGGACCTTATTAGAGCATTTGATACAGTGCCTCAAAAAATTTTACTTGAAAAATTAATTCAGATCTGCTTGGATCTAAGGACTTTCACATGTTTTGAAAATGAACTGAAAGTTGTGGGGTTATGAAAGTGGCAATAATATTAAGTGGAAGGGCGGTGCCTGGGATAATTTGACATACATCTTTTAACAATGGACTGATTAAATGGGAAGACGATGCTAAGCTGGGAAGCGGTAGCAAGCAAAAAAAAGGGGGCAAAACAAAACAAACCACCAGAAACATACATTTAAGAATACCTGAGTAAATGAGATGAGGTTTAGTGTGAAAAATGGAAGACACCGGAGTTAGATGAAAACAGTCCAAATCCATCAGGGATGATATGCGGCACCGGGAAAACAGTAACGCTGAAGAAGTCCTCCAGGTGACAGGGGTAGATGAACTCTGGGTTGCAAACCCGCGTGGGCTTTTAAAAAGGGGTGATTTTTGACTCCACGTGCCGAAGTAGCTGTGCACTATGGGCAGCGACAGCAAAAGTCGTTTTCTTTCTTCTTTTCAAGAGACTGAGCCTAGATTTTTAACAGACTTTAAATCATCTCCTAGGATAAACTACAAAAAGGATCTTGCTCCCTGTACAGAGAATGTTCCTACTTTCCTCTGTTTGACTTGATCCCATTAGTTCGGTTTATGCTAAGCCAAAGAACTTCAAGCAGGTTCCCTCTTTTGCTAGTTTTTTTGTTCAAGGACTTGTGGACAATCTTCAGACCTGCCACAATTTAGCAATATGTGCCTTTTCCTCTATCCAACAAGCCATTCTCTCTAAACAATTAACAGTTTCCCCACGTCGTTCGGCTCTTCCGGAATGCTCAGGACTCAAGAACAACGCAAGTCCTAGCACAGAGAGCTAAAAGAGGGGATCCAATACTGAGGAGGAGAGGGAGCTTCCCCCCCCCACATTTGCAGTGAAGCACGCCTGATACAGCATGTTGCACGGCAGAGGAGAGGGGAAGATGTCTGAGCTGAGACAGCTCTCAGTCCAGAGCTGACGTTCCCAAGATGCAGCTTTAGCAGCACAGCGGGGCAACGCGGTGGGCCTGAAACACCGGCCTTGCCTGCCTAGAGCCATCCCCATCTCTAAGTGCGTTTTCAGAACTACAAAGAGAAATAATTGGTTCATGGCCTGTGCCGGACCTGAAGAATAAGGAGTTACTCCAGATTTCCCTGATGTGACAGAGCAGAATTTGATTTAGTGAACCCTACCGGATCGTTTAACAGTGTGACATCGGAGGCTATGAATGCTTTATTGTTTGGATCGTTTTTAATTAAACTGGGCAAAAGCTCTCAATCTTAAAACGCAACGTCAGGACGTAAATAAAAACATCAGTAGCTCCTTCCACCTCTGGTTTCCAGAATAAAATAGCTTTTATTTTCACTGAGCATAATGAAAGGAGATCACCGTGCACCGAAGGGTCTTCCCAAAGACGAGCAAAATACACCTTAGCCTGCGAGCTGCGAAGCACTGAAGAGATGTTAACCTGCCACCGTAGGGGCCTTCCCGTATTAACCCCTGATGAGCAGCGTTCGCTGCCTCACGACCGTTTGGTGACGGTTCACTGCTGGTCCTAATGCATAACCACCTCGGGGAACCCTCATAAACTGTTAAAATCAACAGGACGATTAAAAAACGCAATTCAGGACTAAAAAGCTACCGGCATTTTCCACCTCGCAGGGTTTCCTAGCGCCAGCGCAGCCCCCCTGCAGGGCGGCGGGGCTGCTGGGGGAAAGCCCGACCCCGACAGCTCGGCTCGCCCTTGCCGGGGCGGGCACGCCGCCGGGGCGCAGCC